CAGTTGTCTCGTCGCGATGAATCGCGACGATGGAATTGCGTGAATTCAGCCCGAGCCCTAACCCAATCGCGTCGGATGGATCTACATTACCAGGGCTTGGCTGACCAACTTAACTCGTAACGAACGAATCCGTCAGGGATCCTGGGCAAGTGGGAAGAGGGAACCTCAAGGAAGAGAGCTCACTGGTTTTGGAGTCCTTTAACGGCTGTTTCAAGGAAAGTATTATCAGAGACTCTCAAGAAATATTAGGGATGCGAACAAGAAAGTAGGACACCAATCGTGATTTTGCTCTTATCGGAAAATTCCTCTCTTGTGATGAACTCGGCATGCATGGCCCAATCCCTAATACAGTATGAGCGTGTATGGAAGACAGAGTCCATCAGGCAACTGCGCACGAAAGGCCACGCTTGATAAATGAGACCACATATTGCGACAAGTAAACCGAATAATAGTTGGTGCAAGATTCTACGCTTGGCTTTGAAATTCTGGATAGTGCCATGATCTCGCTCATATTGATGTGAAAACATGTATGTATTACTTTGTGCGAATATGTAAGTATTACAATTTACCTTCCTAGAATGCTTTGAACAACAAACCACAGGACGCTGGAGAACCTAAAGTCTATAAGGTATTTTCTCTCAATTCTGCAGTATTTGCCTGAATTACCCGATTTACAGGTAACCGACTCTCATGTGGGACGCGGTTACGGTAAAGAGCAAGCCGTGAGTTGGCAGCGTCTTGGCACATTCTTTGCCGGTGTAGTCGAGCATGCACGTCCGCTACCACCTCTGAATCCTTTAGGTTTGAGCCCTAGATTATGTGCTTCTAGCGGTTTCTCTTCTCAAAGTGTTTTTTGCAGAATGTGCAATCGCACTACGCATTGTCGACGATATCGAAGACGAAGTTAGTCGCACACTGACTGATGAACATAAAGCGACCATACGTGGGTGGCTGGCTAATATACAAATGCGTAATCTACGCGATTTTGCACCGGATACGCCTTATTCAACGACGAGTGCAGCTACGGTAAGGAAAGCATATAATTTTTGCATTTTGTCAGAATGATGTCGCTGAAAGCCTTCTACTCTCCTGGAAATTTTTGATGGGGCAAAATTTATGCCCAAAATCCCACTGTAGATCATCGAAACTTAGTAATGTAGTACCTAAATACTACAGTACTTGATTCTATCATATCATGCGCAAATCTAGAATTTTCACAAAATTCAGATTTTGCTTGATCCGCTACGCAGTCGTCTATGGAATATACCGCCCGACGCCTCACAACTTCCGCAAGTCGCTGAAGAGGAGCATATAGAGTCACTACTTGATTAGTGCTTTTCGAAGTCAGGTTTCCGCGTCAATTTCCCGAAGATCTCTCA